CTCAGTTGACTATTACATAGTCCCTCATACTTTCACCTAGCTTATCCCTGCAGTAATGTATTGTACAGTCTGATTGATGTGGGGAGGAACGACCTACGGTAACGCTCCTTCTTACACTGGGGATGTAACAGTCTGGTGCTAAAGGAACTGTTCAGAGCCTCCACTGTGTGGTGCAGGGGATGGGAGGGGTCATGCATGATGGATGTTAGTTTTACCAGCATCCTTCTGTCCACCACCACCTCGATAGAATCCAGAGAGCAGCCCAGGACAGACCCAGCTCTCTTAACCAGCTTGTTTAGTCTCTTCCTGTCCCTGTCCATGCTACCTCCTGCCCAACCCACAACAGGGTAAAAAACAGCAGATGCCACTACAGTATCATAAAAAGTCTGTAGGAGTGCCCCCCCGCACACCAAAGGACCTCAGTCTCCTCAACAAGTGGAGGCGGTTCTGGCCCTTCTTGTACAGGGCATCAGTGTTTTCAGTGTTGAAGCATTTTCCAATTCTGAGTCAGAATCTTCAGGTATGGCACAAAACACTTTTAAAGTATCTGGTAACAGGTGATGGTAGAAGAAGAAAAAAAATCACTTCCAATATGTTTACCCTGTTCAGTGCAAACAACAGGGCTAATGGGGGAAGTGGTATTAATGGGAAAAAGTAAAGCATTAAACCCCCTGGTGTAAGACAAAGGCATCTTCACTAAATGGGCTGGACTGACTACATACTGCACGACATCTCCCAACTCTGGTAGCTTCTTCATTACCGCGTCACATTAGCACTCTTATGCCATGCAGATCTACATGTCGCCCTCAATCTCTGATTGGGTTAAAACATAAAAAAATATTACATATCACGATATGACAACGTGCCAAACTGTGAATCCAGTAGTGTGGCAAAACTCCCTGCCAAGGAGAGCACCAATATAAACTTTATTTACAGATGGAATATACAATATGAACAAAAAATGAATCCACTGACAATGGGACAGGATGTGACGTCTCTCAGCTCTACTCCCCCCTCCATGACACTCTGCTGCCTACAGCCCCTTTGTTGATAATCCAGCTTCTCTAACCTGTGTTGTCAAAGTACGGTCTGTAAATCAGCCCCATCCATCACTGAGCCAAGGTTATAAGAAGCATTTTCAAACTGCAAGTAGTCATTTCCAGCATTCAGCCATGAAGGAGCTCTGGTGGCTAAAAGTTTGAACCAGCGGCTGCAGAGTGAGGAAGTGGCGTTGTTTGCACAAAGAGAGTTGGACAAAGAAAGAGCATCAACCAGGGTTAACATCAGTTTGGCTTGTTGAGATGGAGAAGGTTTAAAGCAGACAAAGGACTGGATTCAGATGAGGCCTCCTTCCTTCTGAATTGGCAACAGTAAAGAACAAGAGCGACCTGGCATGGTCATGATTTTACCTTTGCATTGAATTCATATGATTCTAATTTGGAAGTAATACAAGCTTTGTGTAACGTTAGTGCTTTGTGTCACCTCAGCAGCAACCGGAGCTTCTACTGGACTGACACATTTACTCATTAGTCAGCTAACGCTAGCTTCAGACTGGGGGGGCTGCATCTCGTGCAGTTTATCTTAACCAGACATCCGTAGTTCATGTTGTCGCTAGGAAACAGGACGTGATGAAAGAGCGTTTAGGAGCGTCTCATGGTGTCAGCTTGTTTCGAGTCTCACTAGACTGTCTAGGCTGTAAAAATGTAGGTAAAGTAGCTTTAACTAATGGTCGGTGTAGAAAATGAACAAAGGAAAGCGACATATAGTCCCACACACACACACACACAACGCAGGCAGCATGAAGCCGTAACAGTAGGAGCTGAGAGGGGATGGTGGTAGCAGCTGGGAAAACAAATACACGACCATGTGTTGGTGTTACAGAGTCTTTCCTAGCAGAGTTACAGGGTCATAAAAGGAGCTAATGCTGCCTTTAAACCTCTCCTCCACTTCTGACTCGTTTTGGCTTCAGTTGTTTTATTCAGACAACTGTTTTGTTCCACTTTTCTTTTGTTGTGTTTTTGTATTGCTCTCTTTTCTCCTGTCCTGTTGCACGTTCTCTTCCAATATGAGAGCCAGTAGGATGAGGCATGTTGGGAGATAAAAAAAGAAGCTGTCTTTGTGTTGTGTTTACTGTTACTGTCTGCAAGCAATAAAGTGTGTAAACAGATAGGATATGTGCAGGAATATTAACTGTAGATCCAATATAACGCAGCCACACCAAGTCCTTATCTGGGCTTCTGCTGGAGAGCGCAGTGAGTAATATCCCTCTACACCAACGACGGCATCTCCAAGGACCCCTCTGTCAAACTCCTAAAGTTTGCTGATGATACAACGGTCACTGGTCTCATTCTAGACGGCGACGAGTCGGCCTACAGACGGGAGGTTGAGCAGCTGGTCCTGTGGTGTAGCCGCAACAACCTGGAGCTGTTTTTATTGCTATTTATCTCATTTCAATGAACATTCCTTTGTCTGTCTGCATCATTTACTGCCTGTTTATACTGCTTATTTTGTATTGTTTGCACCATTTGCTGCTTGTTAATACTGTTTATCTTGTTATATTACACAGCCTTATGCTGGTTTACTGTTTACTTGCCCCCTGCATGGGGATATGTACATGCACATTGAGAGCCGATGTACCAGTCAAATTCCTCGTGTGTCCGACACACCTGGCCAATAAAGCTGATTGTGATTCTAGTCTGCAGTCACTATTGACAGAGCTGAGGAACAAAAATAACACTGTAAAAGTCAGCTACATAACTGAACACCTAATAATTCTGTTCGTTATAATAATCTAAAAATCCAAAGATCTATACTTGGTCGGCTGCAGCAGACGTTTTGTCCAGAGTCTGAACTTGTTGGTTGCTCCTGGTTTAAAACCTTATCATCACACATGAGAGGCCGTAAAGAATAACACAATTTTCACGATTTTGCTCTTCAATAAAATCCGTCTCATTGTGTTTTGCCTTCCTCCTTGCTGCATATGTCCACAAACGCTCTTATTTGGCTGTTTACCTAGTTTCACAGAGCAATGTCAGGACTAACAGGGTCTACTTCCCACTTTTACATCGTTCTCAAGCTCACCCAAAGCTGGTCATCATGGCCCGGTGGACTTTTCTTGATGAAGGCTCCATAGTAGGTGGCTATGTTTCTGTGGTGGGAGTACTTCTTCAGCATGTTGATTTCCAACTTAATTTCCTCCTCTTCGTCCTAGAAGAGAGAAGGAGGCCCATCAGTGTTTACATTCTGGCAAGAAAATACACACAAACAATAAAAGTGTCTAACCTGAAGCTAAAAACAACTTGTTTTAAACGTTCATGTCACCTGCTCAGTCTTTACAGTTCTTATTGCCAACCAAGCTGAACCATGTGAAAGAACTTCATGAACACATCCTGTACTGGCTGCAGCTTTAAAACACATTTAAAACATCTTCCTTCAAACTGTGAATGCACAGACTTACTCCTGCATTTACACCGTGCAGTAAAAATGTCTGACATCTACTGGTTCCAACTTTGCAGCTGTTCTCTTGTTTATACGACTGGAAATCAGGAATTCATATTTGCAGCAAACAAAACAAGCAATCAGCAATTAATCAAAAATCAACCAATTATAACAGAACAAACATTAGCTGCAGGTTGTTTTTTGGCCTCTGTAGCATTGTAGTGTATTCTCTTATAGCAACCGCTGTCCAATCAGCCTGATAAAGCACATCACCCCAAACCAACATGCAGATACAGCCTGAACTTGAACCGATAACAGAGCCGAGCAAACGACCATCCATCTCTCTCTCACACACGCTCAGGATATTGCGGTACAGACACGCACACAGACTCGTATCACAAGATCAAGCGATTACTTCTCAGTCACTGCAGTATCACTGAGGCTGTGACATTTATTTGTGAATGTTTTTCATCAGCTGAGCCTGCGTGTCCGATCCCGCAGGCCAAGCGGGGCTGACACAACGTGACGTTTTAACCATTATACAGCTGGTTGAAAAGCAGGAGTGTGACAGGTGGCTGCGGCCTGGACTCCTGAGCAAACCGAGCGTTGCAGCAACTTTGAACATCCATAAAAAATATATCCTGTGCCACTCAGAGGAAAACCATTTGGCTTTTATACTGAGACGTGTAACAGTTGCACTTTGGCTATATCTGAAAAACGTCAGACCAAGACTTGCTTAGTTTTTATGGGAAATAATGATTTTTTTCAGGAAATCCACTGTATGGACAGAAGTATGCAGACACACCCCCGTCCATACAACAGTGAAGGAAAATCTTGAAGCTACAGCAACAGTGATATTTTAGACAACAGTGTGCTTCCTGTTCTGTGGCAACAGCTTGGAGAGAGATGTTCCTGTTGCCCCATTAAGAAAATGGTTTTTCCAGTCTGGTGTGACAGAACATGACTCCCCTGTACAAAGCCCTGACCTCAATTCCATCCAGCACCTTTGGGGTGAACTGGATCACTGTGAGCCCGACCTTATCAGCTAATATTAATACTGGACCTCACAAATGCTAAATGGGAGCAAATCCCTGCACCCAGAATCCAAAATCTGGTGGAAACCTGGGTATCTGCAGAACTTTGTGGCTTGATGTGGGGCCTCACAATTTGTCTTTATAGAGTTAAAGCAAAAAGCAGTTAAACTATTAAGTACTGTAGTTTACCAAGTAACGTCAGATCAATCTGAAGCAGAGGTGCTGAAGAAAATAACTGGTTTGTGTTGAAATGAAGACAATGGATCATGCACTGAGACTACAACTGTTACATAAGGTTTTTCACAACACAACTCAAAATGGAGCAAAATCACAAGAATATTCAGTTATGTAAGATTGGTCTTGGCTGTAGAGGGCACGCCAACTACTGGTTTCACAGGAAGTAGACACAAACCCATGAGTTAATGGCAGTTACCAGTCTATCACTGCAGGTAGCTACCTCGCTCTGCTGGCTGTCAAAACAGATACGAGTTTTTTATTTATAACCCAGGAAAAGACTGATGCTACATGGTGATGCTGGAAACACACACACACGCCTTATCAAGCAGCAATCGACAGGCAGCCAACAACTCTGCTGACATTTCTGAGTCGGCTCCAGAGGTTAGAGGGCAGGTCTGCCAAACTCCACATTAAAAGACATTTACTGTCAGCCTCTATGAAAACACATGACCTGCAGCTCGGTTACACTATCGCTGAAATCCTGATGCCAGCTCAACTTATCTATGAAAAACAGCACTTTCATGCTGTCAGTCATATGGAGAGTATGTTCAAACAGTTGGAGGTGTTATTTTGGAACAAAGCTCATATGTTCACGTTCAGCTCTACCACAAACTATTTCTGTGCTTTAAGCTGTTATTACTGTGGTAAACGTTAAAGCACGCTGGTGCCACAGCGTTTCCTAAAAACAAGTTTATTCTCAGCTTTAGTGTGACTGACGCTCCGTGGGATGAACAGCTTTCGGGTTTAGCTACGCCTGTTTCAGCACCGGCTTTCCATGAGAGGGCATCGAAGGTCAGCAGGAGTTTTGACAGGGTCAGCCGGTCAGCCAATCCCGAGTCACCATCAGTCAGCTGGTTACCGAGCAGCCATCCAACCAGTCACCCACCAGGTGAGCTGGCTGACCCATCAGCTGTCACTGCATTAGATATATAAACAATATTTCAGTGAAACTAAAAGCAGGCTTGTGAGACCTACAGGATACTAAAGGATGTACGCAAAGTCAGCACGCACGGACACCGGTGCTGTCAGTCGTCAACAGAGCGCCCCATCAGCCACAGACTGTCAGTCATGTGAACGTTTCTGGTACAAATCAGAGTAATTACAGATTCTGCGGCCAGACTGAAGGAGGAGGAACACTGTACAAATGATCCACTATGGTATGTAAAATAACACGGCTAAAAAAGAGGAAGAAACAAAAATCACATCCACATCCAAAATATAAGAATGGTTACATTCCTTTATCTTCAGGGCGGCGCAGAGGGTCTACACCCCAAAACCCCAGACTTACATCAAACTGAATCACGTGGTTATGTGACATGGTGTGAAGGCTTGTACAGTACACAGGAGAGAAAAGTGTGAACAGGACACTTCTGGAGTATGTGCCAGTGCAAAAAGGACAAGAAAGCTAAAAAACTGAAGTCATCAGAGAAACAACCATGTCCTGGACAGAGCAGTGGCACTGGGTTAGAAACCAGTGGCACTGGGTTAGAAACCAGTGGCACTGGGCTAGAAACCAGTGGCACTGGGTTAGAAACCAGTAGAAACCTAACAATACACCCAGTAGGTACTTTTTGACAAACTGACTTTAAATGTGTTTTTTTTGTTTTGCTTACTCTTTTTTTTTTCATTAAAGGCACATTAAATATTTTACACATTGTCTGATAAGTGAACATGGGACAGGACACGGTGCGTCTCAGCTATACCACCCCCCTCCATGACACTCGTTAAATACAGTCTGTAAATCAGCCTCACCTGATTCACAGACCGTATTTTTGGACTGTGAATAGTCATTTCAAACAGCCAGCCATGCAGGAGCTCTGGGCAGCTGAAAGTCTGAAACTGGAGCGACCTACAGGATTAGTCCAAGTCTCACGAGATCCTCTAGGCTGAAAAGGAATTAGGTGGAGTAGCTTCCAACTAAATAAGTTCTTAAAATGCATCAAACAGGAACCAAATGTTTGTCTGAATATAATATGATATTAAATCATCCAAACTAGTCTGATTTTATTATTATTACTGAACAAAAAGGGTTGAAATGCTTAGCGCGTTTCTCAGAGTATGATGCCTTATTTTGTCCAAAATCCACAGATATTCAATTTACAAAAGTATAAGACAAAGAAAAGCAGCATCCTCAGCTGTAAGACCCAGAGATTGTCATTGAAACAGTTCATCAGTGGTGCAAACCGATCAACGTTTTCTGTTCAATAACTTGTTCAACTTCAGTGATCGCTGCCAGTTTTCAGTACTTAAGTACAATGTTGAGGCATCTGTACTTGACTGGAGTACTTTGATTTTGTGCTACTTTATACTTCAACTTCCAATATTTTATTCCACTACCTTCATTTTACAACTTTAGCCGCTAGTTAATTTGTGGAACCAGATTAATGCTGCAGTTACACTATAATCATATATCTTGATCAATCTCTGGTGGTAAATTCACAAGCTGCCCATCAATAATTCAAATTATAAGCATATAAGATAGTTAAAACTATCTCTGCTTTACAAGCTGCAACACTGCAGTAACAATGAATAAGTAATAATCATAATATGATATACATTAACGTTAAATGTGCAATTCTGCACAACCACTTAAGCCTTTAGTGCTTTAAGTAGTTTTCCTGCTAATACTTTTGTATTTTTATGAACATTTTGAGTGTGGGACCTTTACTGGTAACTGTTTTTACACTATTGTATTGCTAGTCTTACTAAAGGAGGGGATCTGAGTACTTCTCCCACCACTGTCCAACAGTTCTCTGTAAGAAGTGGTGTCGATCTCAAAGCATCATTTGGATTCAGCAGGGAAACACACACCGGCCCATGTGTGTTAGAGAGGCAGACGGGCAGGAAGTAACCTGGAGGTCAGGATACAGCTGCTTGTACGAGGAGATGCCACGTCGTCCTCACCTCAGTCCATTTATTTTGGACACTCATCGTCTCGTTCCCTGTTATCCTCACAGAATCACCTATGACGACTCCATTCTCGTGTTCATGTGTCCTGTCATTACAGCACCTTCATTCTCTCTCACTTTGCCTGAACTATACAGTATATTCTCAGTTGGTCATTCAAACCAAGGCATCATAATCATTCCTGGGCATGAGACAATGGTGGGGAGACTTGGTGGTGGCCATATTGCTTCTCAAGTATTACAGCACACAATGTGAGGAGCGCCAACAGAACCACAGCCCAGAGGGAGCAGACGGCCACAAAACAGAAGCATGATGGAAAAAGGAAGCTGAGTAGGGGGAAGACTTCGGCTCAGACAGGGACAGAGAGGACGCTGTGTCTCTGACAGGGACAGAGAGGACGCTGTGTCTCTGACAGGGACAGAGAGGACGCTGTGTCTCTGACAGGCTACCAGCAACTTGGAGGTACTCCTTTTAAACCTTTCACTCATATCTGAAGAAGCCTCATGTAATCTTGATTTAATCACATTTATTAGTCACCAAGTTCATAGTATATTATCTCAACACATTCTCTCTTAGTAGTTCATGTTTCTGCTTAATTGGGAATGAATGGAAGCTCTGAGACCTAAGCGCCAAGAAGTAAATATGTGTGACTGCATATGCACACACACAAATGATACTTTAGGTACACAAGCATTTTCAGATTGTGGTTTAGCCTGAGCTGAACTGATCAGGAACAGGACGCCACTGAAAGGCTGCGTCTGCTGTTGGCGAGGACGATCTCTGCTTGAAGAACCTTTCTAGGAGCAACCAGATACGACCTGAAATGAATTGGGTGATTGAACTGCTCCTTACAAGCTCACGGTGGTGACTCAGATTTAACCGCTCAGGAGGTGATTTAGTAAAAAAAAAAAATCTCTTTACAACGTTTACTGACCAATAACCTTTTGAAAGCACAGAATTTATTTTGAACCTACTGTTTAATGTCCTGCTTTAAATTTGTGTGATGACAGTGAAATATGTTAAGACACTTCTGAACATATTATTACATTGTCACCAAAGCGACTGCACTGGACTGACGCATGGACGTCTGTCCCAAATACTGCACCAGTCCATTGAGACATAAGTGAAAGCCAGTGGTAGCACTAGAACTGGTCTGAAGAGTAATTGGGATCATTCTCTGGGGATTGTGCATGTCTGGATGACATTTCATGGCAATCCATTCAGTGGAGATGACTTTGTGAGAATGGACACCTCAACACCTTCCCACTTTCACACCTCTGAGCGGACACGAAGCAGTGGGAGGTGAGAGAGAGACGGAGCCGACCTGCTGTAATGGGCCCAGTTAGCTTCATGTGCAAAACTCACAGAAGGAGAAATATTAAGTGTGAAAATATGGAGGCAACTCATTCTCTAGGGGGAGAAAACGACAAAACCACTTGCTGTGGAGTTTTTACACTAATCAAGACTGAATCTCACTGGATAACATTCAGTCAACAGCAGAGAGAGAGAGACGCAGAAAGCAGAGCTGCTGATTTCTCTCCAACTTCCCATCAGGGATGATGACGACTTCACTCTGTCTAGTTTCCTTCTCTCTTCTCTTGTACTCCATAGAAAACAAAGGTGGTGACTGAAAGAGAAACGGCAAGGAATCGAAATCTGAATACAAGTGGGATCTGTAGCAATAAAAGAGAAGGGGAGAAAAACAGGTGAGACTCAGGATGTACCAAAAAAAGAGCAGAGAATGGGAGGAGAGATGGTGACTGGATGTGAAAGAGG